AAACATTTATTATATGGTGAACGTCAATGTTTAAATACTAGGCATGGTCGATCCCAAGGACCCATGCAAATAACCTGTACTAATGTAAATTATACGAGCTTTCCACCCTTTAGACGGAAACACAAAGCGGTCCCCGCTCTGCTACATGACGACAGATGTAAGTAAGAGGGTGGACCCACCTAGATTTTCTGCTCGGCAGAAAAGAGTCCTAACACCAGGTCTGTGAGTTTTTTACAAGTTAGTAATGAATGAATGGATGGATGGAATTTCAGTTTAGTGCAATATTTATGTATGTGAGTGTGTAAAACTTATATAAACACTATTCACTTTATGTGTGATAACGTAGTATTCGAATGGACTTTCTATAAGTATATTCAGTCTATGCATAAGTAAATAAAACGCTAATATACATATTCTTATCCAGTATCCGTTGTCAGTTCTCAGTATCTTTTACATATTATGCAATTTCAATTTGCAAAACTTAAAGATCAATTTAACATACTGTTACAATCTTATGTCGTGATGAAAATAATTTAACAAGAGATGGGCAGCGCCATCTTGAAGCTAACAACTTAATAAAATGAAAGCTGCGGCTGCCGACCAGCGTAGCGTGGCAACTATGGCAAATATCCCCATATAAGTCGATCTACGAGGAAGGCTATGTTCAGCAAGGGGCTTTTGGTAGGCTGTATCGAATGAATAAACAATCTTGTACATATGTAACGCAAAAAAGAATAGTTAAAAGTAACCTTTATTCCTCATTTAACAATAAAATACATAATTTTTCAATCATAATTAGTGATCGGATATCGGATGCATATTTACCTAAAGTGTAGGTGTTGGCTATTATGGGAACTTTTACTTTTGTACATACATAATACATAAACACTCACGCCTGTCACCCAGAGGGGTAGGCAGAGACTACAGACTTCCATTTGGCACGATCCTGACACACCTCTCTCGCCTCCTTCACATCCATACACCTCCGCATACATGCTCGTCGGTTAAGGGTACTCCTAATTTGGCCCGTTTTCAATAAATCGCCAATTTGGTCGATAAATTTTCGCCTAGGACGTCCCTTTCCGACTCTGCCATTCACTTCTGCAACATAAATTTTCTTTGTCACTCTTTCCTCATTCATTCTTTCCACATGACCAAACCACCGAAGCATTCCTTTCTTAATCCTGGTCACAACATCATCTTGCAAACCACACTCTTCTCTTATTACACAATTTCTTACCCTGTCATTAAGATTCAGCCCTAACATACTCCTTAACGACCGCATTTCTACTGCGTTCATTCTACTCTCGTGCTTCTTCTGCCACACCCAACTTTCACTACCATATGTTAAAGTAGGGACCAACACAGCATTGTGAATTGCCATACGTGCCTTTTTCGACACATTTTGACTCTTCACAATAGAGTGCAGGGCCCCATTTACTCTATTTCCCGCATTCACTCGTCGTTCTATATCCTTATCATATCTCCCATCCCTGCTAAATACGCAGCCCAAATATACAAACTCGTCTACTTGCTCGATCAACTCCCCTTCTATTCTTATTTCACAAATCGTTTTACTTTCTTCTCTTTCAAAAACCATAACCTTCGTCTTACTTGCGTTCACTTTCATACCCCTTTCTTTTAATGATCTGTTCATTAATGTAACCATCATTTGCAACTCGGCCGCCGACGACGCAAGTATAACTTGATCATCGGCGTACAAAAGGCATTTGACGGTTAACTCACCCATTCTTAATCCGCATTCTTCAACTTTCAAATTTTGCAAACAACTGTCCATAAATAGGTTGAACAGCCACGGGGAAGCTACACAGCCCTGTCTGACACCTTTATGGATGTCAAACCAGTCCGAGTAGACCCCGTTGATCCTAACACAAGCACTAGAGTCCCTATAAAGGGACTCCAATGCCCGTATCAAGCCAGCGCTCAACCCAAATGAGTTCAGTGTTTGCCAAAGCACATCCCTATTCACTCTGTCATAGGCCTTTTCCAAGTCCATGAACGCACAAAAAACCTTTTGGTTTTTGGCCAAAAAACTTCTCCGCGATCATGCGCATGGAAAAGACTTGATCTGTACATCCCATTCCCTTTCTAAATCCTGCTTGCACATCCCAAATTTTTCCATCAGTTTCTTTCATGACCCTTTCAATCAGTACCTTAGCATACAGTTTTCCCACAATGCTAAGAAGGCTGATGCCACGGTAGTTTTTACAGTCCTGCTGCGACCCTTTTCCCTTATATACTGGGACTATCACGGCTTTGCACCAGTCTACCGGTACCCGCTTCAGTTCCCAGCATAAATTAAACAAGGTGTGCAGCAGGCCTGCCACCACTTCCTCTCCAGCCCTTAGCATTTCGAGTGAAACTCTATCATATCCGGCAGCCTTACCTGCTTTCATGCTTTTCATTGCTTTCATTATTTCACCTACACTAATCTCGCTACCTCTTTCCTCTTCTTTCGGAATTTCTACTTCACTTAGTACACACGTTGTCTCCTCACTCATAAACACGCTTTCAAAATATTCCTTCCATCTCTTTAAACTCAAAACTTCATCATTCAGAATATAGCCATTCTCGTCTCTTATAGCATTCATCATAGGCTGTTTTGAATGTCCCCTGGCAGTTCTTACAAGTTTCCAGAACATTTTAATATTTGCCTGGAAATTATCCGATATTCTTCTATCATTCTTATCCGTTCTTTCTTGCTTTTTTCTTTCAACTACTTCTTTTACTCTCTTATTAAGATGTCTAAAGACTGCCTTTTTTCTTTCAATATCATCATTCGTACCGCTAGAATTACCAGCCTTTGTTGCTAGTAAATCTAGCCATGCTCTCTTCTTTGCTTCAACTTCCATACGTACCTCATCATCCCACCATAACGTATTATTTTTCCTTTCATTCTTTCTCTTACTAACACCACATACTTCGGTAGCTGCATCCACTAAACCTTTCTTTACATTTTGCCATACATTCTCCAAGTCTAACTCCTTCATACATAATTCATCCAAACCACTTATATTTTCTTTCAGTCTACATTTGAACTTCTTTTTCTCACCTTCATCTTGTAACCTTTCTGTTCTAATACGCTGTAACGCAGTGGTAGACACAGATGACCGATGGCGCCAACGCCTGAATAGACCATTAATTCGGCATAGAACCAAATAATGATCCGTTCCTACGTTAGAACCCCGGTAAACCCTTGTATCTACAACTGCGCCCCTCAATCTTTCATCCACAATTATTAAATCTATCATGCTTCTATCGTCACCTCTTTCCCAAGTATACATGTGAATCCTCTTGTGGCGAAAGCAAGTGTTCGTCACAAAAAGATTCTTTTCCATACATACGGTGAGGAGACTTTCACCATTCTCATTTATACTTTCATCACCAAACGTTCCCAATATCCTTTCATAACCAAGCCTCCTCACCCCAACCCTTCCATTAAAATCTCCTAGCATAATAATATTTTCATTTCCCTTACACTCCATTAACACCATCCTTACCATTTCCCAAAACTGCTCTCGGATATAAGTGGGCTTAGACATGTCTGGGGCGTAGACCCCTAACACAAACAACTTCTTTAAGCCCACTTTCATTCGTATCCACAGCAGTCTTGGGCTTACACATTTATACTCTTTCACACATTGGCCCATTCTTTCTGAAAGGATGATACCTACTCCCTGGCATGCCCGCTCGATCTCGTCTACACCAGACCAGTATGCGGTATACATGCCATGTGTAGTGACATCCTTTCCCTTCCTTTTCGTCTCATTTACACATAACACATCTATTCCTCTATCATTCATCATATCGCATACTTCATCCATTTTATCATTCATTGCCCCACATACATTCAACGTAGCCAGACGGACCTCTGAAATCCACTTTTCGCCTCTCCGGGAGACAGAACGTGACGGGTGGCGAACTTTTACTTTTGTATCGAGAAAACCCCGGGATTTCGGAATCGACAAATTTAGTTATTTTTTACTATAGAATTAAATTGGGTGTAGATATAATTACCTATTTTAAGGTAATATGGAAGCACTTATGTATAGAAAATATCCCGGGATTTTGAAATCGACAAATTTTCTGTTTTTATTATAGAATGCCAAATCAGGCGCAGGTATATTTACTTATTTTAATTTTTATATATATAAAAAAACTAGAAATAATAACTTTTTAATTTTTTTAAATTAACACCCACTGTTTTTTCTAACAAATACCACATGCTATAGTCGAAGTTTCCTCACCATGGTACAGACTATTTTCGCGTTTCCGTATCTTCTGGAATCCCTGGATATGTATTTAAAAAAATATGTTTTAAGAAGCAGCTTCCATAATTTCCTAGCCAAAAATGAACTTTAGGTAACTATGCATCTGATCACTAATCATAATATACAAGGGGCGTGGCTATTTTTAACTTCACGTGGTATGTTTTAAAGTGTACCATAGTGGCGGTGTAAGGATATCCACTACCCCATATCATCCTCTTGGTGACGTAAGACGCGACAGAGGGAAACAAATCAGGAGATGGGCAGCAGCGTTTCCCTAATAACGACTAAAACTAACAAACTGCGGTTGACAATCCGCTTGCCAAGTTTGGCAACTATGGCAAATATCCCCCTATGAGGTAATCTATAGGTGAGAGGTATGTTCACCAGTGAACTTAAGGAAGCTGTGTGGACATGGATTGAAAAGATATCTTGGAATCCTAAATGGCAGCAAATTCTTTGCAAATATATACAAATATTTTAATGGCATCTGCATTTTGATTCGTAATCGAGGATAGATGTAGATGTCTATGGGCCGCAGCAAGCACTTACCATCAGGTGGACTGTGTGCTCGTTTGTCATCCTATCCTATAAAAAAAAAATGGGAAATGGAGTGCCAGAGGATTGTTGCTCCTGTTTAATCGTTTGAACAAAACAATGAAAAGAAAAAAGTCGCGATAAAAGAACAAAAGAAATTCGTCTTCCACTTACCGGACTACCATCGCCATTAACTCCACTTTCAACTAAAATGTCCTCAAACAACAAATCAGCTTCACACGGTGAACATAGATTACTGAGCAATTCACTAAACCTTTCGACTTTGCGCACACACACAGCCCCCAACAAACTTCCAACTTCCGCTTCCTTCACTTTTGGCACATCACAACTGTCTTCAACTTTTACGTAATTATCATCATTTTTATTATTACACTGTGTTTGTTTTATAATAGGAATGTATGAATTTTTACTGCTATTTTTGAGCTCGCTTTGTTGATGCGATAAGTTTTCGTCTAAGGTTTTATCGTTAATCCTAATTTCAACATCAACATCTTTAATATTGTTCCCGACTACAATATCATTAAATAAGTTTTCAAACGTCTCTTTCTCCATACTGTTTGAAAGACTTTTATCACCTAGTATGTTATTAAAAATTTCCTCTAAATTGTCACTTTTTTCTTCATTTTTTAAATTAACTAATTCTGTTTCTTCGGTCAATGATTTCCTATTCTTGTCATCAAATTTAGAACTATTCATTTCGTCAACAATTTTCTCATTTGAACTACTGACTATAAAATTACTTTTGTCTTTTGCTAATATATTTTTATTAATGGAATGTTTAAGTTTCGTTCTAATAGCACCAATTTCTTTATCTGAAACACATGTTGTCAAATTACTTTTTAAATTTTCTTTTTCATTGTTTTGCCTTCTATTTTGCGTACGAGCTTTGTGTCTCTCGATAAGTTTAGTATTTTTTGGATTCTTTGTTTTATCATCTTCTATTAAGGAATGCACTGAAGAACTTCTATTGTTAGATTTCTTAGAAGACGTACAGGAATCAGCGTGATTTGCAGCAGCAGCCCTTAAGCGAGATGTTCTGGTCGTTCTTATAGGCACTGATGTTGAAGCAGTATTGAGATTTACCTCCGATGAAGACTTGAGATTACTAGCAGCGTCTTCTGATGGCGTGCGTTTAGCTGTTTTCTTTGACCGCCTGGAATTTTAAAAATTTAAAACTTAAACTTCGTATTTCTTTAATATATACTATTTATTACGTAAAATTGTTTAAAATCTATATCTATAAATAATGTTAATTTAAGCCTTATTGAGTAAGTAGCTCTTTAAGGTAAGTAAATATTATATTTATTTACCAAATACAAAGTTAAGCATTAAAACATCCTACTTAATTTAGAAATTGAGTAATTTGGAAGTTATATCTTTTTAAAAGTTGTTTTGAACTTCAACTATTGGGAAAGCCTCACTACTTCAACAATGAACTAATATGCTGAACTAGTGGGAGCTAACCAATTTGGATATAACTGATTGCATTTTATGACACTTACCTATCTGAAACATTAGCAGAGAAAAGCGTCGCTGTTTTAGCCATCAGCTGCTTTCGTCTTTCTTCTTTATATTTCTGTATCCTAGCAGCACGAGCCTCGTCCGGCGATTGGTTCATTGTGCTTGTTTTTCTTTTCGGACGATGTCACGTACGCCAACTGCTCTCGCAATTTCTATAGTTTTTAGTTTCTTTCTTATAACTACTATGGAACTTCTTTAGCATGGCGGCATCAAGCGCGCAGGGCGGAATAATTGGCAGTGATAAAACAGGCTAAGGCTGGAGGTAGGCGTTGATGAAGTTGCGGTTAAAACCTGAAACGGACGAAAAAACAAATGTGAAATTGGATCCCACAAATGTAACACAAGGCGCTATCGCACGGAAGAATACGTAAGTAATCCATGTAGAGTCGGTCGGTGACAAAATCGCAAACAAAACAATGATGTTTCATGAATACAAGGTGAAGTAAGGACGCGTTACGAGTGGGGCATCGAATGCCTTTGTTCCATTGTTGTTCCTCCCCAGCAAAGTCTGGGAATGTCAAAGCATGGGTCGATTGTTTTATAACGCCAATTCCGATAAGTGTCATAGGATAGTTATGAAAACTTCTCGAATCATATACTATACTAAGATTGAGTGTGAACGCATTGCAAAACCAGATAGACAGTTATGAGCTTTGACATAAAAATTAAAATATAAAAACAAATTTCTAAACGGTATCTCCTTTTCTGCCTAGCTGAGTGGTCTGAAGTGTATAGAGAGCGAGTATAATTACATGTTGTAAGGCGTAATATCTTAGTCCTCAGAGGTGACAAAGCATGTTCACAGAATTAAGATGTAGCGTTTTTGTTTGAAGTTGGTAACAGGTTTCCATGGGCTGCTGTACCTACGTACTATTAGGTGGACTCTGAAGTTCGTTTGTCAAATTTAAAAAAAACTATATTTCTGAGAAATATATACATGAGATACTGGTTAACCCCTCAATCCTCTTAAAATTCCCATGCAGTCGCATGCGTCCGTCCAATCCCGAGCGGTCGCAATACCAAACTTCTTCATATAAAAGTAATCTTTAAATATAATTTTTATAGGTTATAGCGCTGTGGGTGGGTGCGGTCTCATGAGACCGCTAGGGATCAGAAGAGTCCTATGTATTGAGTATATACAAACAAAGTATTGTGTTAGTTCTATGTGTAGAAGTCACGCACAAGCATCAATTATTTATAAGGTAAAATCAGTCCCAAAAAAACACAACTCCACGCAATTATAATGATAAAACGGAAGTTGGATAACGAAAGGCTCCACGCCACTCTCAGGACCTTTGAAGTATAAACTTGTTAGCCTTCCCTGTTATGTACTTGATAAATTTTCTTCATATAATACATACACATACATAGTAAGCGACCGTGCTTTGCTCGGCGTTAGAAAAAAAAATTCTGGGGATGACACCAATCAAGATGAACTTGGTAAGTCGATTCCGAAATACCAATAATATTATTTATCCAGAATTGTTTAAAGTACCCATAGGATATAATATGTGTCACATCACATTAGATCAAGAAACTTTCAAGTCTACCGCTGGAGATAGGCCTATCCAGAAATGCGCTGTGGGCCTGCTTATTTTTAAAATGGAGAGAACAGAGCCATAGGCTCTATTCTCTCCATTTTATATAATATAATTATATAAAAGCAAAAGCTATAGAATAGCCGACCTATTCGTGCTATTGGTATAACTATATTTATATAATATAGTTATACCAATAGCACGTATAGGTCGGCTTGACCGAAGAAAGATCTTACTGACACAGCTTACCAGCGTGAAACCGCAGCATGATGCTGCTGGTTTTTTTACAGTAAGTGGCGAGAATGGATGCCATTTTTTTAAATAAAAAAATGTATTTATTTGCCACAAAAAATACAATGTTTAAATTTAAATTAATAATTAGTGACAAAACGGTCTGTGACTCAAATGTAACGAAAAAGAATTACTCCTGCTATTCTGCCACAGCCTTTGCGCATTAACCATACAGGGTCTTAGACAAGTGATGAACAAACATATTGTTACGAGCTTGAGGTTCGTGACAATAAAAATTGCCGATAAAATTACCTAAATTAACACTTTAATTTACTTTACACAATTAAAGTTAAAACACTAATAATTTAAACACACTAATTCACTTAATTCCACTCCGAAGCTTCGCTTGTTTCGCCCAAATCAACACTGCCTCCATCGCATCTTGCAGCGCCTATATATTTAAATTAGCAAAGAAATATCCAGAATGTTCAAGTAAACACGCGGAAGGTACCGAGCGTTCGAGTTTCGACTAGGCGCTGTCAGTTGAGTGATTTGTGATGTCATTTCCTCAATGCTCCCTTCGCTCTCGTTCCTGACACTAGATGGCGCTAGTTGACTTATTGCAATTGCATGCAACACTGCCCCCTCCTAAGACATGCTCGTCCCGAGCATTATCGGTCCCATAATAACGCGCCAAGCGATCCACATGGACGATCTTAGGAGTCCCTCTTGCGCCTTTCTGTATCCGGTAGGTCACATCGTTGGTCCTGGTTACAATCCTGTACGGGCCGTCCCATTTAGCTTGAAGCTTAGGAGATTTCCCTTTGCTGCGGACTGGATTGTGCAACCACACAAGTGAACCTTCGTCGAACCCTTTGTTGTTCATTTTGCGGTCGTACCGGGTTTTCATTTTCTCAGACATTTGCTGGCCCGATTGTCTGACGTGCTCATAAATGTCATTCATTTTGTTCCGCAAGTCATTTGCATAATCGGTTATACTGCGTGGGGCATCAGGTGGTATCCCGGTGATCACGTCCGCAGGCAGCCGTAATTCTCTTCCAAAGTTTGCGAAAGCTGGTGTCACTACTGTACTTTCGTGAACAGAACTTCGATATGACAACAAAAACGGTTGTATGTGCTTGTCCCAATCTCGTTGCCGATTGTCTACAACTTTTGCTAGGTACCTCTCCAATGTCTGATTAAATCGTTCCACCATTCCATCAGATTGCGGGTGATAAGAAGTCGTTCTTGTTTTATGAGTACCCATAACTCGGCAAGTTTCCTGGAATATTTGAGACTCAAAATTCCTTCCTTGATCGCTGTGAATCTCTAAAGGTACTCCAAAACGACAGAAGACTTCATGAACTAGTTTATCTGCAACTGTTGAAGCTTCTTGATTTGGAATGGCGAAGACTTCTGGCCACTTAGTGAAGTAATCCATCACAACCATGAAATACTTGTTACCGCTTTCACTCTCCGGAAACGGCCCCGCCACGTCAATGGCTATTCTCTCCCATGGTGCACCCACATTGTACAACTTCAACGCACCTCTACTACGAGTCTGAGGTCCCTTTACAGCCGCACAACTTGTACATTTGCGACACCAGTCCTCGACATCGTTTCGACAGTGGACCCAGTAAAACCGTTCTCGGATCTTCAGTAGAGTTCGTTTAACTCCCAGATGGCCTCCTGAATAATCATTATGGTACAGCTGTAGAACATCCGGTACTTTAGCTTTAGGGACAACCATTTGTAAATAACAGCTGTCTTCCCGAACATTTTCCCATTTACGGCACAGAACTCCATCCTGAAGCAGCAAGCTGTCCCACTGGGCCCAATAGCTTTTAGTGGTTGAACTCATTGCTGAGACGTCGCTCCACTTAGGCTTGGGAGCACTGGCCCTTCTCCATTCCAGAATCGGCTTGATGTCCGGATCTTCCTGCTGTGCATGTTGTAAGCTGTTCTTCCATTCGTTGCTGAGGTGGTCCGTCCTGAGCATCCTCACGGATACCTCTTCCTTACTCTCTTGCCTAGTACAATGGTTGCAATCTTCAGGACAAGGTCTTCTTGACAATGCATCTGCGTTGCCGTGAGATTTTCCGCTGCGATGTTCGATCTCAAAGTCGTATTCCTGCAGTAGTTCAATCCACCTCGCAACTTGTCCTTCTGGATTTTTAAACTGCAATAGCCATTTTAGTGCAGCATGGTCAGTTCGTAAGTGAAACTTTCGTCCCAGAAGATATTTGCTAAAATGCTGCAACGACTTTACCACAGCGAGCAATTCGCGTCTTGTGACACAGTAGTTCCTTTCCGGTTTTGACAACGACTTGCTGAAGTACGCTATTACGACCTCTTGGTCACCATTCCGTTGAGACAACACACCGCCGAGTCCTATATCACTTGCGTCTGTGTCAATTATAAATTCTTTGCTTGCATCAAGGTATCCCAAACTAGGTGTTTTGCACAGACGGTCCTTGAGCTCCTGGAATGCGATATTGCAACTTTCATCCCAGCAGAAATGTCGCTTCTCCTCGGTTAGCTTGTGCAGAGGTTTGGCTATATCTGCAAAGTTCTTCACGAATCGCCGGTAATAGGAGCACAAACCCAAAAATGCTCTAACCTGCGTCTTGTCTTTTGGAACCGGCCAATCCTTGACAGCGGCGATTTTCTCTGGATCTGTGCGGATACCTTCTTCCGATACTACAAACCCCAAAAAGTTAACTTGCCGTTGAAATAGTGAACATTTCTTCGGGCTCAACTTGAGGTTGGCACTCTGAATCTTCATGAGCACGCGTTCCAGGTTTTGAAGGTGTTCCTCAAACGTACGGCCCACGATGATGATGTCATCCAAGTAGACCAGACAGGCATCGCCAATTAGCCCGGTAAGTACAAGTTCCATCAGCCTTTCAAACGTTGCTGGAGCATTGCACAACCCAAACGGCATTACTTTGAATTGCCACAGACCCTTTCCCGTCGAGAACGCAGTTTTCTCCTTGTCCTTAGGGTCAATTTCAACTTGCCAGTAGCCACTTTTTAGATCCAGCGTGCTAAACCATTTTACTCCTGTAAGCATGTCCAGCATGTCATCAATTCTTGGCAAGGGATAGCTGTCCTTCTTTGTAACGTCGTTCAGACGGCGGTAATCAACACAGAACCGCATGCTGCCATCCTTCTTTTTCACCAGCACCACTGGTGAACACCACGGACTAGAGGAAGGTTCAATAACACCATCCTTCACCATTCCTTCAATCATGGTTTCCACTTCCTTTTCACGTGCTACCGGCAATCTTCTTGGCCGCTGACGGATAGGCAATTCCTCTCCTGTGTT